CACGCCTAGGGGAAACGGAGACGGGGACGACCAGCGACTTGGGAGCACCGACAGGAGCTAGAGTCACGAGGAAGAGGCATGAGGGGGACGGGTGTGAGGAAAGCGGAGGGGGGGAGGGAGAGGGGGGAGGAGGGGGGCCATTCATTTGGTTTGGAGTCAATCATTACACTAAAAGGTGGGTCAGTGTAGATCACTGCATTTTGCCCCATGAGTCATACTCAAGGTAGTCAGACTCAGGATTCGGAGTCGGATCGATTTTCCTTAGACAGAATTGAGTCGTAGTATCGGGTCGTGGAATCGAGGATTCTACTAGATTTACTCAAAGAAGATATTTTGTATCCATGGAATAAATTTATATGGGTTCTATAATGTTTTGACACTAAATATAGAGCAAAGACGTACACATCGATCCAAGTTCTATTCCACTTCTTTTTATGGCTAACCTACTATTAGCTTGGATGTATGGAACATATATGAGAGGCAAATATATAGAACATTGAAATCTTCGATGCATGAAATTTACTTATCAGTTTTTTAGAATACGTGAATAACCGATCAGTTGTATATCCACCCTGTTGTGCTTAACCTTGAAGGGTCTTGCTCTCCTGCTCCGATTAATCTTGACGCATCCTCCTTCCCATGCCAATTCCATTTTTCAACAAGTGTGATCCTTAATTTTTGATCTAGGTTTTGAGAGCCAGATCAAAGGTGTCGACGCCTGAGCATTTGGGCTTGGGAGGGGAATAAAGGGCCATGAGGCATGTGAAAATGGTTTGGATGATGGCATACTATTCTGCTACAACTAAACAAATGGCTTAGATAAATTAGTAGAATCGGACATAGTCCATACCATAGTCGGGATTCTACAGTTTGGTATGTGATTCTATGATTTGGATCGCGACTCAACATGGATTCTACCTGATCCGGATTCATAGTGGGACTTGGATCGACATGGTTCCGTAGGGTCATGAAGTCGTAGGATTCTAGCAGTCGAGTCGGGATTCTGACTACCTTGGTCATACTATCAGGTCAGGTTCGGGTATATCCACGAATACATAATTATGTCCATGCCCTACCCATGAATATCCAGATCGGGTTCAGGTGCTGTCTATGGATGTAAAAACATACTCAAATACTATCCATTTGGGCCGGGTATCTGCGGGTATCCATGTCCGTGGATAAAATTGCCATCCTTAGTTGTAACCTCGGGAGGGGCTTGGCGGAAGATGGATCTACTCCAAAGAACTCAACACATGGTAAATAAAATCATGAAGAAGACCTCCAGGTAGGTCATCGAGAAGTACTAAAAAAGTACTTAAGTTCAAGATTCGTATTGCCGGGAAGCTACCTTCTCGGTAAGGTGTTTTCCACTTCACCAACGAGCTCCAGGCCGACAAGTTCCAGACCGACAAGCCCAAGTTCCCTCCACCACTTTGCTGCACCTACCTGTCAGGACTTTGCTGACAGGTGGCGGGCACACAGGTGGTTAGGTAGAGCTTGTCGGGGCACGTGGCGATCCACCGCCAGAAGATCAACTTTATTAACACCCGTGCAGGGGCGTGTCACAGTAATAAAAGGTAGTTGGGCTGACGGTATAGGTGGAACGGCGCTCCCATGCCGGCATCTGTCCCATCATGACACCTAATAGCGCATTTAATTCGTTTGTCATATGCCGTTAGTGTTTGGCATGTTAACACTGTAGCCACTATTCACCCCTGTAAATGACCGTTTTGCCACTGTGGTAACCCCTTTCACCTAGTATAAAAGAAGGGCCATGGCAACCTTTACAAGGGTCGAAACCCTGCCCATTTGCAGTAGCTTAGTAACACCTCCCGAGGATCTTGCCGGCAAGGTTGTGTTCTCTGTAAACGTGGGACTCAAATACTCATAAATGCACCAATGCAGGAGTAGGGTTTTACGCACACTACGGCTCGAACCTGGGTAAAACGCTCGAGTTCTTTCATGGTTGTTGCTCTTTGTGTGCTACGTGCCCTCACCGAACGTAGAAGGGGTTCTCGGCCCCATAGATTGCCGTATGCCGACACCCATCAAGAATGTTCGTCATAGCTTCTATCCACATCTACCCTCCGAGCATGAAAAATATATTTATTTCACCAATTGCAAGAATTGCACCAACTAAAAGAAGGATTGGTGGACGGATTAAGAAATCTTTAGCTAGTAGTTGTGCACGCACTCGGGATGAGAGGACTCTCGTTCTCTATAATTGGAGTCGATGTAGATTGATAAAGCCTATTGATCGATCGAGACTGGCTGCACAATACCTTTAACTTTGCTATAATTATTCATCCCCTTTTTTCCTTTGTATTTCTACTAGAGTTTTTATGAGGAAAGGGAGTGACGATGAAGTAGGAGCGTCTGGTGGGCCTATATATATGTGGTGGCTCCTGCCGAAGCACGCACTCAGTGAGTCATAGAGAAAGAGTGATAAGGAGTGGAGGAGCATAGCTAGAGGGGAAGACACGAGAGAGATGGAAATGGAGAGGAGATCAGTAGTGTATGATTCTGAAGGAGGTGATGATCATGAGAGGCAAGGTACGTATGCGATCCTAACTTGTGTGATTAATTCAATCAAGTCTTGCATGCTGTCGATCATAAGGACTTGATGTAGTGATTGTGAGCCAATGGAACATGCATGTAGTAATTAGCTAGTTAGACCTCACTGTCATGACATGGCATGTGCCTAGAGGACGAACAATAGGGAGGCTTTTCTTTTGTTTCCTTTTAGCAGTGATAATATGTGCATCAGTCTGAATTTGCAACATTGGCATCCTGGCCGCAGGGACGGTGTGGACGGCGACGTCACACATCGTGGCGGCGGTGGTCGGCTCCGGCGTGCTGGCACTGGCGTGGACGGTGGCGCAGCTGGGGTGGGTGGTGGGCCCACTCGTCCTCTTGGGCTTCTCCTGCGTTACCTACTACACCTCTACCCTCCTGGCCAACTGCTACCGCTACCCGGACCCCGTCTCCGGCGCCGTCAACCGGGAGTACATCGACGCTGTCCGGTGCTACCTTGGTAACTAATCGACGTAGTTACATATTAATCTCAAAGCTCAAAGCTAACCCGTGCATGGCTGATGGATTAATAATGAACTGTTGAAGGCCGGAAGAACGTGCTGCTGTGCGGGTGTGCGCAGTACGTGAACCTGTGGGGCACGCTTGTGGGCTACACCATCACGGCAAGCACCAGCATGGTGTAAGTACACTAGACTCTTTATCTTCTTTCTTTTTGCAAGCACTAGAATGGACTATGATTAGTTAGCCCAGCAAATTGATATTGATTTGGGCGTGACGCATGCATAAATAACGCATCCCCTGGAGGCCGGAGAGGGAATCCGTTGGCATTCTCGCATAAGATTGCACTGCACGCATGCACGCTGCACGCTATGCGCGTGACACCACCACCAGCTTGTTGGTGGATCCGTCACGGTTGCACACACCTGCACGTATCTCGTGTGACATCAACACACCTGCACTGGTAGCTCTATCTTTCTTTTCTTGAGCATATGCCGCCGCAGCCTCCGGATGTCATCTTTGAGCCAAAAAATTCCAAGCTTGCCGTGGCATCTACGATCGAGAGGGTTTCAACACTAGCTAGGTGCGTAACCGTATGGGGATTTTGCTTTTGCTTTTGCTTTTTAAATCTGATTAATTCATTCTTCCTTTTTTAGTTGAGTTGTTAATTCATTCTTTCGACAAAAAAATAGAGTACTAGATGATGTCCATTATAAAATTATACTACCTCTGTACCAAATTATAAGACATTTTTGCAGATTTTTGCACAGCAAAAACGTGTTGTATTTTAATACGGAGGCAGTAGTAATTCATTCATCCAGAATTTATTTTGGGTTAACATTCATCCAGATTTTAAATGATAAATATGCATGTATGTAGCGCGGTGAAGCGAGTCAACTGCTTCCACCGGTCGGGTTTCAGCACGACGGGATGCAACTCGTCGGGGAGCACGTACATGGTGCTGTTCGGCCTAATGCAGCTGCTGCTCTCCCAGCTTCCCAGCCTCCACAACATCGCCTGGCTCTCCGTCGTCGCCGTCGCCACCTCCTTCGGCTACTCCTTCATCAGCCTCGGCCTCTGCGCCGCCAAGTGGGCCTCCCATGGCGACGTGCGCGGCACCCTCGCCGGCGCCAGCGTCGACGCGCCCCGTGACAAGGCCTTCAACGTCCTCCTGGCCCTCGGCAACATCGCCTTCTCCTACACCTTCGCCGACGTGCTCATCGAGATCCAGGACACTCTCAAATCTCCTCCCGCGGAGAACAAGACCATGAAGCGCGCGTCGCTCTACGGCCTCAGCATGACCACCGTCTTCTACCTCCTCCTGGGCTGCACCGGCTACGCCGCCTTCGGCAACGATGCCCCCGGGAACATCCTCACGGGTCTGGCCTTCTACGAGCCCTACTGGCTCGTCGACGTCGCCAACGTGTGCGTCATCGTGCACCTCGCGGGCGCCTATCAGGTGTTCGCGCAGCCCATCTTCGCGAGGCTGGAGAGCTACGTAGCGTGCCGGTGGCCGGACGCCAAGATCATCAACGCCACGTACTATGCGCGCGTGCCGGGCCGGCCGTCTTCGTCAGTGCCGGTGGCGCCGCTCAAGCTGGTGTTGCGCACCGTCATCATCATGTTCACCACGCTGGTGGCGATGCTGCTGCCATTTTTCAACGCCGTGCTGGGGCTCATCGGCGCGCTAGGCTTCTGGCCGCTGTCCGTCTACTTCCCTGTCAGCATGCACATCGCGAGACTCAAGATCAGGCGCGGCGAGGGGCGGTGGTACTGGCTGCAGGCCATGAGCTTCGTCTGCCTCCTCATCTCCCTCGCCGCAAGCATCGGGTCCGTGCAGGACATCGTGCACAACCTCAAGACCGCCACCCCCTTCTAGAATATCGACTGATTATTAACGAGTACTCCATATTTGTAGTCGACGGATTATTAACTCGACTGATCTGAGGGACCCATGCAAAGGTGGCCTCACTTCTCCTTTTTGGCGTTAATTTGATTGATCGATCGATCCATCCATCAAGTCCATCCATTTTTCTTGATGTTGATTCCAACTTTGCAATAGTACCTACGTAGCTTGCAATCAGAGGCGGAACCAGGATTTGTCAAAGCCTAGGGCTAAAACTAACTGTCTAAATATAATGTCAAAATACCACGCGCATCAATGTGCGTTATATGTATGCCACAAAATCACATTCAAAACAAAATATAAATTCATTATTAGTAGGAGAGGAAATTCCATTAAACAAATATTTTAACAAAGTGCATCATTGCAAAAATGATTTGGTACCAAATTAGTGGAGACTTGCTTAATTCAAGGTCATTGTTTCTTCACCAACAATAGCAGAAGGACCTGGATCTGCAAACATAAAATCAAGTATTTAAAATCAAGATAGTGGACATAGAATAAATCAATTGTTCATATGAAATTTTGCAAAAAAAAAACATATTATATACCATTAACACGAACTCCACAAGGTAGTAGCGCCTTGCGTTTTCTCATTTTTTGATAGCATTGTATAATCTTAATATCATCAATGCTTCAACTATATGGGTCCTCTTCATCTTGGATATCTAATCTCCTTATGACAACGAAATAAAACTGACTAGATATAGTTTAACACCGCCAATTCACTGAGTTTGCCTGATATAAAGAAACTAGGGAAAATAATTAGATGATACAGAGTTACAGATTAGTTATTACCTATGCGTGCGCTGTAGTTTAGCAATAGTTCGAGAAGATCAGAAGGAGGAGACTAGCAGAGGCAGGTGGACAGGACACCGGATCCGGCAGCCGGCGCGGCGGGGAATCGTGGCTTGACGACTGACGACGGCGGCGGCACAGCCGCGCAGCGCGTGGGTCCTCCGTTTGAGAGAGGCGAGGGTTTCTCCGCCTATCGGGAGTGCGATTTTATTTTTCTTGCCGAACGAGCGAGCGACAGATCGAAGCGTCAACGTGTTCTCATCGATAGATTTCCTGGCTGCGCGATTTTTTTTAGAAAGCCCGCTGATTTATTAACTCCTGGCTGCGCGATTGATTTTCTGTTCTGATCGATCCACTTGAGTTGGGCTAATGGGCTGAAGCCTTACATCTACGTGAAGCCTGGGGCTAATCTTCTCTGTATCCCAAATTCTAAAATATTTGGTACTATATGTATAAGGGCTAGTTGGGCCACGTCTGGGGCTCTTGCAATTGTCCTATCAAGTAATGCAAGATCGACTAAACAGGCAACTGAAAACAAAACAAATATCTGTCATTTTTGTTTCTGGCCGTGCGATTTTCCTCTTTTTTTTCCCCTTTTTTGAATAGAAATGACTGGAAATGAACAAACCTTA